ACTCCTAGCATACATCATTAGTTCTTTAACAATAACAGTTAACATAAACAAAATAAAGCATAAACTCATTTTTTTTTATTAGAATCCCAACTTTTATTTTGAATTATATATGTATATATATATATATATATATATATATAAACCGATTTTTGATCATTTTTTGGTTGATTTTTGCCACTGAGTTTGACCCGCCTTAAAGGATTTGACCGCCTCGGACCGCCTAGAGCCGTCTCACAGACAAAAAACCGAATTTTCAAATCGTTACACTAAAATCGTAAAGGTTTGGGATCGCCTCCACCTCGGAGACCGATTAATAGGCCGCCTCGGCCGATTTTTAGAGCACTGACTAATACTAATAGTATTACTATTACTGTTACTATTACTATTACTACTATATTACTATTACTTTTACTATTACTATTGGTATTTGTATTAGCACATTAGTATTAGTATTAGTAATATCATTAGCATTAACATATTAGGATTAGTCTTACTATTAGTATTAGGGTTTGGTTAAAATTAGTATCAAGACTATGATTAATATTAAGATTAAGATTTAGATTATAATTATTATGATTAGTATTAGTATCAGTATTAGTATTAATGTTAGTATTATTATTACGATTATAATCAATAATAATATTAGAATTAGGAATACGGTTAAGATTAGAGTTATGATTAAGACTATAATTAGTTTAATATTAGTATTATTATTGGTATTAGAATAACGATTAGTATTATAATTGCAGTTAGTATTATGATTGGAGTTAATACTAACATAGATATTAGGATTATGATTAGCGTTATGATTATAATGAAGATTATTAAATTTATTAGAATTACGATACTTATTAGTATTAGTATTAGGATTATGATTATGATTGTGAATAAAATTAGTATTACGATCAATATTATGGTCATAACTAATATTAATATCAGTAATAATATGAGTAATAGTAATAGTAAGTATTAATATTAGTATTAGTATTAGTATTAATATTAGTATTAGTATTAGTAGTAGTATTAGTATTAGTATCCGTATCAGTATAAGTATCAGTATCAGTACCAATATGAGTATTAGTATTAGTATTAGTATTCGCATTAGCATTTGCATTTGCATTTGTAATTGTATTGGTATTGGTATTGATATTGGTATTGGTATTAGTATTAGTATTAGTATTAGTATTAGTATTAGTATTAGTATTAGTATTAGTATTAGTATTAGTATTAGTATTAGTATTAGTATGTGTGTGAGTATGAGTGTGAGTATGAGTACGAGTATGAGTGTGAGTATGAGTATGAGAACGAGTAATAGCATTAGCATCAGCATTAGTATTAATATTAGTATTAGTATTAGTATTAGTATTAGTATTAGTATTAGTATTACTATTAGTATTAGTATTAGTATTAGTATTAGTATTAGTATTAGTATTAGTATTAGTATTAGAGGTGGCATAAAAACATTCATTAAGCCTGAATAGGCGACTAATATTACTTGCAATGTGGTCTATAAGAATGTTTTTCACGGAATATGAATGTACATCATAAAAATTGTATGTTGTGATTCTAATACATATTTGTTTATATTATTTATAGGTATAATTATTTTTGCCGTGTTAAGTTTATTTCCACTTTATGCTCATTATAATGTTGATTCCAATGAAGTTTTTTTTTATTAAATCAAGGTAGTTTTGTATAAATTATATTTACTTCTTAATATTTTAGGTGGTTTGTGTTTCTGTAAGGTGTAATACTAATTGCATTTAAACTATGAAAAATATGCATTTTACTCGCAAAGTAGTAAATGAGTTATAGACGATGTCAATGCATGTGTTCAATAATTAAGTTTCATGTTAAGGATCTAAGTGTATTGGACGAGATAGTTGAGCCATTTGTGTTACATAATGTATCTTATTTTCTAAATCACAATTTTCGTATTTTATATTTTCTTTTATCATTTATTTTGTTTATCTCGAGACTTAAATCAAATGGAATTGATATATCAACTATTGAAAGTTTTCGTTCGATTATTTTATCCAAAACACATATATATTTTTTTTATATTACCCCATGCATCGAATTACGGAAATAATTAACATCCTTTTTTCATTCATAAATATGTCTGATTTACATCATCGACGTGTTTTAATCATTACAAAAACATGAACTTAAAATTAATCTCCGTGCATCGCACGGGTGAGTTACTAGTTCATAGAACGATCAAAACATCGTATTTTTAAGGATCGCTACAGAATCAAAACCCTCTGAAGTTGAACTAGAGAAAGATACATGACTTGTCTAAATCGCCCCACATCCCTCTTCCACCGCTCTGATCACTCTCTCCTTGTGCCGCCGTCGGCTATTACTTCCGGATTTTCTCAAATTCTTCATCAATCTTCGTCTCGGTCTTCCGCTATTCGATCAATTCCTCAAATGTCCTCTCCAGTCCCTTCTTCTACGGTTTCTACAGTTACTATTTCCTACCCTGAACTCAAGGATCCAACTGCTGATATTTCTGATCAAATTGAGCGCGGATTTGGGCCCAATGGCCTCGGAATTCTATCCATATCAGAGGTATGAAGCAGATTGATTCTTCTTTTTTTTTTTTTTTTTTTTTTTTTTTTGTCTTCCCCTTTATCTGATTAGTATATTTGTTCGATAATTATTTGGTAACTCTTTTTACACCCTTCTGATGTCGTTTCATTTGTATCCATTCTTAATTTTGTATTGCAAATATATCCCTGTAGACTGTAGTACTATTTGATCACAACTTGTATTAGTATTTTTTTCGAGAAATATGCTATTAATTGTTCTTAGTAATCATTCAAATAGTGTATTATGTGGTGGTGATTCATTTTGTTTGGTGGAATTGAAAATGCTTTTATCTCACTTGTTCTAATCATTCTTATAAATTTTCATTTCTCTTCAGTAATAAGTAGCTGAGCGTTCATTTTGATCTCAGTCGATAGTGCGTTAATATTATGTTATTTTTCTTATAAATACTGAATTTATTAAGAATTTAGTATTTGCATTTGGTTCTTGTTGTAGGTTCCGGGGTATACTTTACTGCGTCGCAATCTTCTACACCTTGCACCTAGGTACGCCGTCAACGAGTCCAGTCTCGTACGTCATGATTTATATGAATATCATGTAAGTTAATTAGTTTACTTTCCACTTAGATTATGCTGACCTTCTTTGCCACTTTATTACTTTGTCAAATCAGATTGGCAAGTCTTCCGGAAGAGGTGAAGCAGGAGATAGAAGACCCTCATAGTAGGTAAGGCAATTATTTTTTCATCAATCCTTCAAGCACTCCTTACTATTTGCTCTGTATTTACGGGCTTCAGATTTTTTACATGGTGTTTAGTCTGCATTTCGGGTTGTATATGCAGGTACAACATTGGATGGAGTCATGGAAAAGAAAAGCTCGAGTCTGGAAAACTAGGTAACGTTTGTTGGTAACTAAAATAACAAGGAAACAGTCATTCTTCCTGCCTCATAGCATCCAATTGTCCATCATCTTTTCAAAATTTTATATATTTGTTTGTGTTATATTTATTTTATGTGTTTATGTCACATTTAGTGAGCACTCTTTAACATATTGATTTATATCGAACAGATATGTTGAAAGGCTCCTTCTACGCCAATCCTATACACGACGTACCTACAAATGAACTATCACTTGTTAAAAGGTAATAACACCTACACCTACTACCACATTTATGAGCAGTAAACAGATAAATCAAGAGAAGTAAATGATAGATTGTTAGATGGACATGGTTTCGCAAATGATTCAGATTTTCCTTCTTCCATCCCTCAGATATTGTTCGGTTCATTTGGTTGTCCACGACTCCACATGCAATTGTTCTGAATCAAAACATCAAAAATGAATTTATCTAATTACCTAATAGACACCTTTTAAAATTCGAATGACTGGAATTGGTCAACATGTGCAGGATAACTTCTCAATCTTTAACAAGGAATCATAAACACTACATACAAACAAAATATGTGTACCTAAATTATTGAATCAATCATTACGTGAATGATTAAAAAATTAAAGATGCATAGATAAATGTCTCTGTCACAGCTCAGTTAAGCATTTTTAATTTGCTTTATTACACAAGGAGGAATTTTCTTTTCGATTCGTTTTTTGTTGAAAAAGTTCAGCTGGATGTTTTTTAGGATGAAGAGCTTAGTCTATTATTTAGTTAATCAGCGATACAGTTTACAACTATGAAGTTTGCCACCATAAGCATCAACCAGCACTCTTCATGTATTTTTTGGTTGTTTTTTTGGCTTTTTGCCAATTAGGTACCCTTCTTACTGTGGACCAAATATATGGCCTCGTGCTGCTCTGCCGGAACTTGAACATGGTATGAACTAAGGCCCTCGCAGCTTTTTTGAAGTCATATAAATGCCTTAATTTTTGTATAAGTGGTCCCTCTGAGTTATTGTACTACCCTTTATTTCCTGAATCTATTTGTGTTGCAAGTATATTCTTGGTCTATATTAGTTTTACTTGGTTTAGGAAGAAACGTTTGCAGCTAGTTCTGGTCTTCTAGTTTGTTGAGTACATGTAATTAATGTGACATTAGTTCATGTGTAACAACTTGTATACTGTAAAATTAGCGAACATAGAAATCAATTCAGTCAGAGAGAGATGGTTTCTGATCTGTTTGCTTACCATTCCTCAGCTGCCCGTCATTCACTGTAAACTGGAGCTAATGTTTTGATTTCTAACACCTCTTCTCACCTTATTTGATGAATTTCGTTGTTCTTAATGTGTTCGACATTGCTCGCTTTACTTGTCATCATCTCAACTGGTTTTAAAACTTATCAAGTTCAATTTTATCAGTTTAGTATTATGTGACTTGTTCTTCTTCCCCACTTCAACTTTTGGTGTCAGTATCTGAGTACAAGTTACTGTTGTAACAATGATTCAGTTAGGCAATCAGTAGGTCTTCCCTCCATTATTATGTGCAGTTCTCTTTGCTACGGATACACAACTTATTTTCTTTTTCGTCCTCCCTTCACTGTGTAGCTTTTAAAGCTCTTGGAAAGTTGATTCTGGAAGTTGGGTTGCTATTGGCATATCACTGTGATCGTTATGGTAAGTTCTATGTCTGAAGATCGGTATTCTTTTGATATTTTTCAAATGAATTCTCTGCTGCCAACAAACAGTTATTTGAGACCAGTCAGCTCTCCATCAATACAATGTTTTAGCTGTTGACCTGGTCTGTATGCAGAGTGCTGCATGATACATTTAAAAAGTCGTGCAATATATTAATCATAATTCAAATAGGTTACTTTTGATACTGAAGTAAAATATCTTCAGTATATACATATATGCATGTATGATAAACATTGACATCAATGTGCTTTTACAAAAGTATGTTGGCAAGCGATCAACATAATATGGTTACCTAAGAAGAGAAAATTATTACCTGAGTTCCCATGTTGGCGGAGCTTTTTGCTGTCCAAAGGCATGTCTTTTGTACTATTGTTTTACTACTGTAGTTTCGGGTTTTGATCCGTCATACTAATTTATTTCTTCTTCATTTGAACTTATGTAGTATCAAATGGGTTCAAGATGCACGAAGATGGAAGTTTACAACAAGTACTTCTTCGATCTCGATGTCACAAAGGCCGTCTTCTTTACTATTTTCCTGCACATCAGTGGTACTCTATTTTCCTTTTCAACTATTATGACCAAGCATTTCTTAGGGGCATAATATCACCAAGCTTCAGTTCTTCTATACATATAATACTGCCCACTGAAGAGACAGTGATATCTCTCTCTTAACTGCAAACTGACGCTTAGATTTTCTGGTGTCTTTATTGAATATAGATTTTGCAGGTATATAGATGAAATAATAGAATATATGATTTAAAGTGTAATGTACTTGCATATATAATTGAAGATGCCTATAAAATGCATTCCAAGAATAAGTAGGAGAGTTTACAGATGAAAACAATTGGATGAGTTCAGTAAATTAATATGCAGAGAGCCCTTGCTTATAAAGTGGTACAAATAAAATTTAATTGGTAATGGACTTACAAATTGGCTTGTCGATTATGCACATTATTCGAAGAACAGTTATCACTACCCTTAGCCTAGCCTTTCTCATAGTGGGATTTGGTAAGAGTTGAGGGTTCAAATCCCTTTCTTTACGTGTGTTGTAAGACACATTATAAGGCCAATATTTACAAAAAAGAAAAAGAAAAACATTGTCATGACAGTTTATAAATATCTTAGAGCCTTTTGAAGTTGTTGGATGTAAACATTAGGTCGGTCAGACGGTCTTGATACTGCGTGTGGAAAACTATGTCCATGTGCGGAGATTATGAAATCCTCTTTTGCAGAATTGTAAGGCATATTGGGAGAATAAGGGAAAAAAATGTGTTTATAGTGAAGTTGCGCAAGTCGCCCCTTGTTGCAGAAGTGGTTATAGGACCTCAGGCGTTAGAAGTCATACTAAAACCAATTGGTGGTAGGAAAAGGCGCATACCTTAGACTTATTAATTAAACAACACCGAAGGAAATATCAGGCTGTGTATGTGATAAATGAATTAGCTTTCCCGAGTTTTTGGTACTATGTCATATTTTACAAGATTGCCTGGTTTACCATATTCAAGTATCTTATAGGATTAATAGGTGTCTATGCAGGTTTGACAACCACCCACCCCAGTTTCTTTAAATAGATACAGGATACATCATTAGACATTTGTAAAGGATCATGTACATTCCTTAGGATATCCGCCCTTGAAAGATGAGAAGTGAAAGCACACAGTTAACAAAAATTTTTTAAGAAACAAATTTAGTCATGTGATGGGTTTATTATTTTTTCTTTTGACTTTTCATTCTCGTGGCTAGACAGATTTCTCAGAATGACCTTAGAAGGATTAGGGTTATTTGCATGAGATAAAGCAAAATGTTATTTGAGGTTCCCATAATCAAATTAACATTATTGAATGGACTTTCCTTGCAGTACTTCCACTGACGATAGAGAGTCTATGTCGTCATGGTGTGGATGGCATACAGATCATGGTTCTCTTACAGGTGAACAAATTTTAACTCTTGAATCACAAATACGCTTATACGAGATATGAGTTATGACATGCATGCTTGCTAGTTAATAAATAATAATGGTAAAAATGACAATCGTGTGAACATGGAATGAAGAAAAATATGAATTTTGGTTAACATTATCCTCATTACTCTAGTAGCGGAAAGTGGCCAGTTTTTTTCTAATTTATTTTACGTGTGAAATTATACACAATCTGATTTGAGGTATTGACTCACACCATAACTGCACTTCAATGATACGAATGTTTAGAAAAAAAATTGATTCGAAATCCTTAGGATGCATATCCAACCCCTTGCGTGGACCCGAAATCACTTGAATTCCAAGCATTTCTCCTCTATAGTTGATACACACGTCAAATTCCATTGTGTCCTTTTTATACTAGCAGCTGAATTTATCTAATAATTTGTAAAAAAATCTCAAATTCCTATGTATTATTTTAGCTTGAAGATAATAATACCTAGGAATATAAATACTTTGAATACATTGAAGTGTTGAACATTTTGTATACTTCAGAGGTTTTGTACGAATTGGGAGAAAAAACTATAGGCAGGAGAGCAGTTTGTAAATTTCAGCCACAATTAGGAATATAAATACTCTTTCTTGTCCGTCCATTAGGGTGCTGTGGAATGTTTCCTTCTAGGTTAAGTATTTCATATCTTGTCAAAATATTTCCCTTTTTGTTCTGGGCCTCTCTTGTTGTAAAAGTGTTTCCTATTAATATATATAACCCCTAATTTCATATATGCCTAGGATATCTTGTACCCTTTTCATATCTGAGCCTAACCTTGGGTGGTTTGGAAGTTATATTTAGGTGCTACCTTCCGTAGGACCATGCATCTTTAAGAATCAGTAATGTTTCATTTGTTCTTACATTTTAACAATTTTAAACATCATAGTGTCAAAATATCTTAACGCTTGATTGTTAGAATGACTAGCTTGACTTTAATTTTTTTTTTTGTTAGGATAAACATTTCCAACCTTAGAATGACAACCTTGACTTTAATTAACACAAATACTACTGATATTCCCTAACTAAACAAAATAAGGTTGGAAATGTTTATTCTTTGCCGACATATAGGATTCTGCTACTTAAGTATGTAATCCTCTAAATTCGACATACTAAACAAAGTTGTAACTTGATCCTGTATTACTTAACTTGATCTTTGGCCTAATTACACTCTATGTGAAGACAATTAGTAAAATATTGATAGAAAATGCTTAGAACAGATTGTTTCATGAATGTATATGCGGACTATATGAGGCAATTCTTAAATCTATTGTTTCTAAAACTACTAAGGATATGAAAGAATACTCAGAACTTGTTATTTGATGTAAGTATATGTGGACTATGTGATCATGGTTATTTAGTACTCCTGCTGCCGCCTCAAAAAAATCTAAAAGTTCTTGGTTTGAGTTCAATGCATCTCTCTTTGATTTTTCAGACAAGCAAGTCTTCTGGTTACTAGAAAACATAAATTCCTTCTAACACTTTTGTCTATTTCCTGTCTTGTCTGGTTTGTGATTATTGACGCTCGAGTCGAATATGCAGGTCTTACTTGTGGCATGTTCACAAGAGATGGTATGGAATTACCTTGCCCCGACAGTGCTGCTGGCCTTTATGTAAAAACGCGTTCAGGTCAAATAGTCAAAGTACATATCCTTATGCTCATGATCATAGTAGGTAGGGATTGCTGTTTGTGCATACTAAATGGAATAAAATTATATACATGATTTACTCATGTCATTGAATATAGTGAATTGATGTTGAAATGCAAATCACACGATGTATATGAAAGAGCAAACAAGGAGATAAATAAAGTGCTGAGGGAAATCTTGTTGAAAGTTATCATGGTTTAGATGTTTGATTTCTGAGCTGTTATAGCTCATTTTTTTGTTTGTGATGTCTACCCTTTGCTTTCGCATGGTCATTTAATTTCCAGTCATTCAAACTCTGACATTGCCTTCATCATAATTACAATATGCACATTTACGTAATGTTGTGAATTTACTTCAAATTCTTTGATTTGCACCAAATTGGTTGATTTCCCAGATTATTATAGGAATAATATAACAGTATATGTTGAAATTACTATATTCGGGTTATTTCATTTTATGTAAGGACAAAGCTCGACACGTGACTTGTGTTTCTGGGCCTCTTTCTTGAAAACATTTGGCAATCTTTCGAGTGTTTTGTGAAGGGTGATAGAACCACCATTCATTCCCACCGACCAAAAAAAAAAATTCTATTTATCTTTCTTCCTATTGCTCACTCATGTGAGCGGCAAGAAATATATGTATCCAGGTAGTAAATATTCCAAACAATGGTCTCTTTCCATCAGAAAGAATTTGGAATTTGGAATAGTGAGTTCAGTCGCATTTAAGTATGCCTGAACAATTTGGAATTTTTTTTAGCTTGCTTGACTATGTTAAAAAATATATATATATATATATATTTATTTATCATGTCTTGGGTTTTATAGTCCTTACATCAGACATTTTCCTTGCCTTTGTTGCCATAGGTTATATATGGGGAAGATGAAATAGCATATCAAATCGGTGAAACAACCGAGATACTTTCAAGAGGTCAGCTCTGTGCAACACCACATTGCGTCCAGGTATTTTGGCTATTTAATCTCTTATTTTTTTGTGGCACCATAATGAAATTTATAATGGGTAAATTACACCTATATTACTGAGTATAAGCTTATTACCTACAGTTGCACTGTTAAACGGTCAATGTAAGGGTTTCGCCCCTCTATCAGCTCCAAATCTATGAATATATACTTCACCCAGTTATACTCTACCTGTCGAAGTTGGTATGAAGTTTGTTCTAATGTATTAACTACTTTCAGTTAATGTAGGAAAGTAGATGCAAATATGCAATTGCATATTTATATCCATTATAATACATATGGAATAACAGAAAACTAGGACACATGAGTGAAAGTCTTTGCTTTTGTTGAACTACATTCATCCAGATAATTTTGAAGTCTCAATGTAATAAATTTCTATTTATTTCAAGTTTTCTACCCTTTTTCAGCAATCATGCGCATTCGCATAACTCATCTCACTTAGCCTAGCTAAATTGCAAGAGTGAAGAGTCCAAGTGATGATATTCTGGACATATTAATGTACTATATTTTAATATATGATTAACATTTACCAATATTTATTTGCTCAATTGTACTTGATGACAGTACCTTATAAAACAATTTGGCAGCGCTGCTTTGAACCTATTAAATATATAATTCACCCTTTTGACAAGTGCTACCCCCCCCCCCCCCCCCCCCCAGTGGTAAAATAATTCCTGCATCTGACTATACTGGACAAATTCTTATTCTTTAAGCCACATAGTTTTTTGTTATGTCCGTTTCATTTCTAACTACCAGATATTATTGCTCAAGAATTAAAATTTTCTCGATTTTTTTCCTATTTCTTTATTATTTAGGCACCAAAAGGGGAGGCAGCATCTGGTGTTGAACGTTCAACATTTGCATTATTTATGCAGCCTGACTGGTACGCTGACTCGCAATCTCTGTGCATATCTATGAAACTTAACTATGTATTTAGTTCACTAAAGGTTCTCTTTGTAAACTCGCTGTTAAACTTCGTTAACGAGTCAGACATTTCGTAATCCTAGATATGCAGTCATACTCGGGATAGAATCCTTAAATAGTTCATAATACAATGTAGCAAGCAAAACGTGTGGTTTGCTGTAAGTTCCATCCGAGTCAAATTTCTCGGACTCATTTCCACAGGAAGGAGCAAATGTAATTTGCCTAATTGGGCTAGTCACTCTGTCTAGACTAATGAAGATTTGATTGATGGGCGAATGACAAAAAGGCCCATCAAATGGGACTTAAATGCATTTTAGTCCACAAAAAAAACAGTCTCTCAATTAAACCCATCCCCATGTCTTTAGTCTAAAATACCCTCCATAATATAATTCTTATCAATCCCACCCATTATGCTCTAACTTCCTTAATATTGCACATTGACCCCGGATTTAAACAAATATATCACATTAACCCCCAAAATTTTTTTTTCCAGAAAATAATTTTTTTTCCGGCAAGATTCCGGCGTTGACTTTTTTTTTTGAAAACTTTTTTTTTCCTGAAATTTTTTTCCGGCCGGTCAACCACCGTTGACCGCCGGTCTCCGGCGTTGACTTTTTTTATTTTTTTATTTTTTCTTTCTTAGAAAAAAATATTTTAATTAATATTACTATCTTGATTACTAAATTACTGTCTCAGACAGGAATATTACTGTTTGGGACAGTAATATTATGAATATTATTTTCCCGAACAGTAATATTATTAATATTATTGTCTAAGACAGTTTAATTACTGTTGGAGACAGTAATTTAGCAGCCAAGGCAATAATATTAATTAAAATAATTTTTTTTAAGAAAAAAAAAAAGTCAATTAACAGTTAAATTACTGTCTCTGACAAATAACTGCTGTAGACAGTAATTTAGCAAGGAATACAGTAATATTAATTAAAAATATTTTTTTTAAGAATAAAAAAATCAATTAACAGTTAAATTACTGTCTCCGACAGTTAAATAACTGCTGGAGACAGTAATTTAGCAACGAATACAGTAATATTAATTAAAATATTTTTCAAAAAAATCAATTAACAGTTAAATTATTGTCTCCTACAGTTAAATAACTGCTGGAGACAGTAATTTAGTAGCAAAGACAATAATATTAATTAAAATATTTTTGAAGAAAAAAAAAAGTCAATTTACAGTTAAATTACTGTCTCCGACAGTTAAACAACTGCCGGAGACAGTAATTTAGCAGCCAAGACAATAATATTAATTAAAATATTTTTTTTTAAGAAAAAACAAAATTATATATAAAAAAAAGTCAACGCTGGAGACCGAAAAAAAATTCTGGGGAAAAAAAGTTTTTCAAAAAAAAAAAAAAAAAAAAGAAGTCAACGGCGGCGACCGGCGGTCTCCGGTGGTGGCGGGTCAAAATTGGGGTCTAAATTGAAATTAGGGTTAAAATTGGTTAATTGATGAAATTGGGCTAAATTGGGGTGTAAATCATGAAATTGGAGTTGAATTGGGTTTCAATGAATTGGGTTTCAATGAATTGGGGGTAATTTTGGTATATATAAAGGGATTTTCCTTATTTGCAAATAAGTTTGAATTGGCTGGATTTATTTGAAAGACAAAAAAGTTAGATGTCCCTCTTTTAATTAAGTGCCCTTGTCATGGGCCTATTTGCCATTTAACCTTGATTGGTAAGAAACAATTTTCTTGTCTTATAAAATCAAACCATATAAAAGAAAAGAAAAAAAGTAAGACGGAAATTTGAAGCCCTTTTCATTTAGAGTTTGTTTTTCTCTTAGGAGGGAGGTATCATCACTTTATCAGGATCATGCGTCTATGTGACCCTCACGATGTATAACTCTGTGCTAGAAAGTAGTTGTTGCAAGCAGTTTGCGTAATCTACACACCATGCATCCCTTATTGAACCTTTTCAGCTTTAAACATGTGTCAGTGTGTTCTGCCAAAGATGGTTCTAGGTTTGAGTCATGTTATAATGTTTTTTCTAGTATTCAATACTTATTGTTAATTTCATTTTGTTCATTACTTGATGATTGGGAATGACTAATACCATAGGCAGCAAAAAGAATTGACTAATACCACATATTTGAGAATAGGGATTCCCATGGGAATAGCTATTCCTACTATTAAATCATACCAATCACGAGTTTGCCTACACTTGAGAATGATTATTCAATTTCCATCTCATGCGCATACCATTCATGCCGTTAATGGTTTATACTTGGAATCATAAAATTGCAGTGTACTGTACTTTCACACATCAGCACTCAGTATGCAACTATACGACAAGATCTTTATTTATGATGTTTGTTTAATCTTTGCTCTGACTTTTAGTTTTAGTTTCTTAATTAATGTTAGCTCTTATTATGATGGTGTTCTGATCAATGATTTTTATGTTTAGGGATGAAAAGCTTATTTTTCCAGAGCTAATAAATATTCACGAGGTGAGTCTTTTGAGTTTCTGTTACTTTGACAAATAAGACTGTCACAGTAATTGCTCAACAAAGTCGCTAAAAGGTATTGAGAAAGGGTAAAAGGACTCGGAACCGAAACTATGGCGTTAAAAACTGAAGTAACGCTGATATTCCATTATCCTTTAGTTTATCACTAAGTATGTTTCCTTGTTGATTTCTTGCAGTTTATCACGCCTAATGGATCAATTTCTTTTGGAGATTATACAGAAAAAGTTCTGGACAAGTATTATGACCTCAATGCATGAAACCTTAAGCACAATAGTTAAAATGTTCGACCCAAAGCTGGAGGTTCTGTACATTTTTTTTTCGTACTTGCAAACTGTTCGAAGACATCTTGTAATTAACTATTGAAAATCTTCTTCGATATTAATGGTGGAATCACCTGATAGATTGGATTTCATTTTTCTCAGCCTCCCAATAAGCTGCATGAACTGGTTTCATTCTGCTAGTGTTTGTCCCCATAATTGCAATTTCACGAATTATCTGATGATCCTCTTTCATTTTATTGTGTGCTCAAAATTTTGTTCTATGTCAATCTTCTTTGCTGAATGGTCGTCTGTGATGGACATCATAGATATGAACTACCGGTCTTTAAGTTTGCTTTCTTCCTCGACATTTGTTCTTTTGACGCCTTTCTATTGAGAGGCCGAATTTGAGTAGATGAATGATCAATACTATCAGCTAATGGGGTTGCATCACCATCGATGTTGACAAATGAATCCCTTCTTTGAGTTGTCGATGTAATATAACTCATGCCGTTTTCTCTTGTTTTGAAGAAGTTCGAAGCGATGCTCTAGTCGGAAAAGCCTTTCCATAATCTGCAACATATAGTTATTTTGCTTCAATCAACTATAAAATAAATAAGGTGGAAAATAAGTAAATAGTATGAATAATAAATTATAATATAATATTTTCCCTTCCATGAGTCGATTGATTGGATTGATGTCTATCATCGATTTGTTTGACATAACTACCAGATTTTCCTCATTGTGCATTAATTTGTCCCAACGATAATTTACATTTCTCTCGGTGCTCCCAATGACACCACCATTGCTCATGGATAGATAAATCATTCCCCAAAATTTATAAGACCTTTGCTCATTTCCAGTAATTGCATCATTACTTGTACTATGCCACTGTTGAAACAATATTAATATTATCGTCGCAAAAAGAAGTTTTTTTCCTCCTTTTTGATCCGACTTGCACTAACACGAGACTTTTGATAGGTGTAGGAATCTCGTAGAATTGATATTTTCCTCATATTTCAGTGCCATGCTAATAAGAGTAAGAACCATATATATGTCGATCCATTTACTAAAGAAAAAAAATAATTATGAGTTAATATAATAATAATAATAATAATAATAATAATAATAATAATAATAATAATAATAATAATAATAATAATAATAATAATAATAATAATAATAATAATAATAAGAAGAAGAATAATAATAATAATAAGAAAAATAATAAATAAGAATAATAATAAATAAGAATAATAAATAAGAACAACAACAACAACAACAACAACAACAACAACAACAACAACTAGATCCAGGTACGATTGAACATACATATGTTTTGTTTTTTTAATTATGTTAAAGTCTTCTGGTGTATATGACAACAATCTACACAAAAATAGTTTGGTGGCTTGTTTTGTAGTTGATTATATGAAGGTTGTAGTGTATATTGTAGATTTTTTATTACATGTGAGTGCTATTGTATTGTATATTATATAAACATTTTTTTTATTGGGCTGGGTGATTCGTGAAGATTATTGTTCTATATGTATCTGTAATTATTTATATGTATTATATACTTCTGTGATAATCTAGGTACTATAGTACTCTATGGGTACTCGGATAGTGTGAGTATTGCTTTAATGATTATAGTCTATCTAATCTCTTTGAATGTATTAGGACAATTCATGGTCTAACATCCAGTTTGTGCAAGTCCTATAAGATACTCAAAGTTTTAATATTGAATAAGCATAATCATACCAATGCTGAGGTCTTGAATCCTGATTCCTTAATCCACTTTTTTTGGACATGTAGGTTTTTTGGTAACTATCTATATACATATGTAATACTCTGGTACTCTATGGGTACTATGATAGTCTGTAGTTATCTATGTATTAGAAAAAAGTCAAATTGATTAAAACATCTACTGCTTTTGAAACTGTATGGTCTATGTATGTTTTGATCTTCTACCATACATTTTGCTTTCTTGGTAACAAATATGATTTATCAAATTTGCAGGCAAGGCAATGAATGTCGCGAGAAGAAAACGAAATAAATGCACTTACACATCTCAACTCAGGTCTCACTTGACCTCCGCTGTAACTTTCTTCGAAGGAGTTGGACTGAGTAATGCCCATCTTGAATGCCTTAAGAGAACGCCATTCTACAATCTGGTTTTACCATTTGCGAAGCACAAAATCACAACTACATCGGTTACTGAACACAAAATTGTTGTGTGAAGTTTTTCTTGACTTACAAACCAGGTGATAACGCTTTCAAAATTTGTGGGAAGAAGCTTAAACTAACTCCAACAGAGTGTCAACTAATATTCGGTATAGTTTCCGGAAGAAGAAAAATCAATACAAGCCGGTTGTGTAGGCCAAACAGTGGCATCATTGCACGGTTCGAGGGTGAACAAAAAATTAAAAATCTCTTTAATACGACGTGGAAAATACTGCACAAATAATGGGATTACTATTCCAATCGGCGAAGCTTTGACAATTGAAAGTAGTACACAACAGAAAGCTGGTTCAACCAACTATGGTGTAATGGTGCTCTGCATCATTAGGAAATATTTTCTTCAGTCGCCCTTGGAAATAAAAGAAGCAGAAGTGGGGATCACAGACATGAGAAGGGGCATTGTAGAACATGTTTTGAATTACAAGATGGATTGAACTATTAATTTCTCTCATTTTGTTTCTTTTCTTGTACGCAAATGCAAACATTTTTACGAATAACATTTGTAGTATTTCCTAGTTAAACATAATTATGGTTTTAAACTCTAGTTTTTGGGTAAAAATATTAGAGACTAGCTGGTCATTGTTAGCACTCGGTACTGTTTCGTATCGAACCTTTCAAATTAATGAGTTGAAGTCATAGATATCACGTGACATATATTGTTTTATATCTTCGTACGTTTGGTGTATGGCCTGTTTTACGTAAATTAATTAACCAAATGCCCATTGTTACACAGCCTGTTAGTACTCTACAAGGATTATCAACTATATAATCCTATAATATACTGTATATGTCTTTGGTATGCTATGTTTAACTACATGAACTTGGTAATAAATTGCATTATCTTGGAATATGGCCATTATTCGAAGACTATTTGTAATATGAATTGAAAACACAAAAACAATACAATAAGTTTCTATCAAATGTTAATGCACATTTGTCTAAAGATGACAGAATTTAGCGAGAACGGATATGGACTAAACACAAACCAATCACATGTAAAAAGAAAACAACTCACAAGCTTATGAAACTTTGAATTTTGTAACTGCAATAAATACTCAAGTACTCAATCAACAAGAAAATCCATGAAAGCATAAGAAAACATACATCGCAAAAACATCACGATACTGAAATGAAAAAGATACTGCTCAAACATAAATCCATGCAAGGAAAAATAAAACAAAAACTAAACTTCAACTTTAAATGCAAATTAAAACAGCTCAAAAGCAATCCAAATGAACCTACTCAATACGCCTTGTGCAAGTCTTCTTGTTGTGTGTTCCAACCTGGTTACAACGACTACATTTCATCCTCCTCGCTACACTCTCACCCCTAGAAGCAATTATTTTCGCCTTTGGTCTACCACGTTTGGCTGGAACTCATGCGGACCAACGACAGCCAACGGAGGGTAAGCAACATGTCTAGCAAATGGGAAAATTGCTTTAGCATAACCTTGTGTGTATGAAGAAACATGAAAGTAATCGTCCACATAATTGTATCCTTCCATCTTCGCTTTCTAGAGCACACAAGCGACATGAGCACATGAGAATCCCGAAATTTGCCACATTAGCATGAACATGATTTCTTCCATAAATCATGAAACGAAACACGAAACACGAAATATTTTCAACAAAACACCTACCGTGAACACATAACGATTATACAAAATTAAATAAAAAAAACCATCACCATGAGAAATGAAAAAAACAGACCTCGTACAATACGCATCTAGCACCATAAATTACCCTTATATTTCAAAACTTGAATTTGCAAACTTATGGTTAAGAATCATGTACTCAATCGAACCAACACAAAACACAAACCTAATGCTATGTGACGATGAAAAACCATACCTTCTTGCGGCTAAATCTTAAAAGAATACACTTAATATTTTGCAGAATAACACTGTATATTGATATCTGTGATATCTTCTTCACCGGAGAAAAAAACAGAAAGAAAAAAAATGTTAACGCCAGAGACTGGCGGTCAACAAACGAAATTGTACTCAAAATTGAGTTATGAGTCAAAATTGAATGGTTAGATTTGGGTTCAAATTGAGGTTAAAATAATTAAATTGGAGCGTACACACCTCCAGACAATGTCTGATTTTTTTTTTATTTGGATCCCTATACGAATAAGTAGCCTATAATCTTATTTGTAATATATGAATTTTTTACTTAGATGGCCTTGAAAATGAGAAATAATTAATATTTGAAATAGCTGCTCCAATCTTGGAAATTGGAATGCATTAAACATTTAAAATCCAAAAATTAGACAAGGAAAGGTCAATAATTTTGGTTCTCTAAAAAAAGAAAAAGTTGAATAATTTTGGTTGAAGGAAATAACGTGCAAGAAAGGGTTGGTGGACCGGTTCTAAATTGTTAAAAAAATGAGTTAGTGAGTTGAAAATAGTGGTAGGTAGCTATACCCACACTCAACTCAACCAACCAATAACGAAAACCTTGCGGGGGCGTGAAAATAAATGATTATTGATTTCCATTTCTTGTTTGAACCACAACCCCCCAGGTTGCAGTTATTTTGAGTGAGTTTGCTCTCAAACTAAAAACAAACCAAAATACTACTACTCAAGAATTGGTTTACCACTAAATCATATCAATAATCAATCTCTAATCATCATCATCATCATCATCATCATCATATATAACTAACGTTTTCTTTTTCTTCTCTCCAGCTTCTCTCCTTTTCCCCTCTTTCTTCCTCCGCTCTTCTTCTCTCATCCTCTCTCTCTCCCTTTCGTTTTGTGTGTGTGTGTGTGTGTGGTAATAGATAACGATTCACAGTGAGAATTGTAGAGATCAATAATTGACAAGGGAAATCAAGAGATCGATCTTCAATCTCGAATCATCATATAACTAAAAAGTTGCAGAAATCTTATCAAAAATGGGGGCGACCGAAAAGATATGGAATGCGACGGAAGTGGCGGAGAGTCACAGCTCTGAGATTCCGTCTTCCTCTCTCACCGTCAATCACTCTCTCTCTCTACCCGATATGAAGCCTCGCATCGTGTCAGTATTTTTCTTTCTCTCTCTCTGTTACTCTTTTCATTTCTCATTTTCAGTTTCATAAATTGTTGAGGTTAGCTCATCTTCTCAGACGGACCAATACACGGCTAACATGATTCCGTTGCCATTTGCGAAAATATTATGTTAGGATGTGATTTCCCCATTTAGATGATGTGGATGTTAATATTTCAAAGTAACTTATTAATTTCTCTAAGGATGGATTGGGGGCAAGGATTTCAGTTGACTCGGGAAAGAGTTGAAAATGAGAGTTAACAGTTGCAATTTATTCTAGATTGTATTCGCCCGAACAAGCGGAGGAGGGAAGACTTCTAGCGATTAGGTGAATGTTGTAGACGATGTTTTCTTCTGAAGGGTATATTTATTTACCATATTTGGAGTAGGAGACACTGGCTAGCTAGCACTATTAAGATAAAGAATACCCTTATGAATTATGAACTAAGGCATCTTTATAAAACAAGCTAAGCTATATTTTCATTGCAGAGGAATAAGAGTCACCACCTAGATTTTATTTGTCCAACACCCTCTGTGTTTGCATCTTAGTGAAGACTGTTGAATAACAAAGGCGATAGGGAGTTTCTTTTTAAGCCATGTTGCACCAGGTGTACTCCATTTACGACTGTGCGTTGGAAGAACATTGGTCTTTGGTTTATTACGTGATCATGGTTAAACCATCAGTTACTAATGAATGTAGAAAGTTGAGTTAGGGGACGATGCGAGACATGCACTTTGAGGCATGCCACATACCTCCTATATCTTTATTTCATGTAATTAGACTATTCTAATGTGCATTATCTGGAAAAGAAAGTTAGTAAACTGTTTCTATTTTGTGTAATAGTGTTGCTTACCCTTAGTTGTGATTCGTTTCCTTTGAACTTCTTTTTTTAAAATATATTTTTGCAGGGAGCTATGCAAAGATCTATTCAAACAATGGTCAAATTTGGATGAGTCAGATTTCTCCCTTGAAACTGTATCCGGTGGCATAACAAATCTGTGTGCGTCGTCTTTCAAAAGATTGTCATATTCTTCTTGGATGAACTTGGTCATTTTTTGATCGAACAGTTATATTTTAAGACCAGTAAAGAATTTAACAAGGATGCAATTCTATTTGCTTACATTGTGGGGGTTTACTGCCTGCTGAATATTAGCTTTTTATTGTAACAGTACTCAAGGTCTCTGTGAATGAAAACAACGGGAATGTTGTGAGTATGACAGTTAGATTGTATGGACCAAATACTGAATATGTGATCAATCGTGAAAGGGAACTGCAGGTATATCACTGAGGTTTTTTATTATAAATTTCGTTGTTCATTAACACATGGCACTTGTTCAACATAGTCGTATATAATCTTATCTCTGTATTTTAAAATTGTGAGCAGTTATCATTTCTTTTATTCGGATTTAACATGAACCATGCGAATTGTTCTTAGGCAATCCCACACCTGTCAGATGCAGGATTTGGTGCCAAGTTGCTGGGCGTTTTTGGGAATGGCATGGTGCAATCATTTATCAATGCTCGTACACTTACACCATCGGGTAAGCATTTTGATGAGAACATGTATGATGGAATGGCTATCACTTTCTCAATGGGAAAATTTTATTGACAGTGTTATCTTCTCTTTTCAACATTTAGCCATCTATGCATTATCAAGTAAACCATTCATGGCTAAGTAGTCCGAAATTTCAGATATGGTACTCTGAAATTACTAAACTCTTCGATGATTTCTTATACCACTTTCAATTTACATAATGTTGGCGAGGATTGTTATTCATGAAGAAGTGATGGTCAAGTTCACTAAGTTCGTTTTAAATCTGTCTCTATGTTATCTACAGGTTCATTTTTTTATTTTAAACCTTATCCTCCTTTACTTGATGCAAACACAACCTTGCTCAGATAACAAAAGATAAGAACGGTACATTTTAGGTAGGAATTGATGACCAACTAGATGGTATTGATCTGTCTAGTAAAAATGAATACTACAGAAATGTATTCAAGTGCATCAAATTCTGGAACAATAACGTTTAGGAACAACCGAACAAGATGTTAAGTGGTTGGGTCAGTAAGCTTGATATTTCAACTAGCTTTATAAATCGATGATAGGAAAAACTGTAACCAGAACTGTGAACTGACAAAATATGTCGATTGTATTTCTTTGATTAGGGTTTTAGACTTATTTTTACAACTGCAACTGCCAAACTAGAAAGTATTATAACCAGGAAATCTCCTAATCTAAAGGGATACAAATGAGAACTAATTCCCTAATCTGAGAATCAAATAGACATTACATCTTCTATATTATATAATCTCCTAAACTAAAAAATGTATGTATTTCCACACTCCCCCTCAAACTGGTGAGTGGATGTTATCCATTTCAAACTTGTCAATCAAACTCTGAAAAACAGTACTGGTCAGTCCATTTTCAGGATAAATTGCCATTTTCATTTGTGTTCAAAACTTGCAGAATAATTTTTTTGTTTGAAGTTGTTTGCATAATATATAAGAATAATTTAGATGAAAAGAAAATGACAGAGAAATATTGAGAATCATTATTATATCGTCACTTTTTTGTCATTATAAGGTTATAACATCTAAAACAGATGATACTGTGAAAAAAAAATAACTTATAAAATCTACAATTAACTGATAAGTTATGTATGCAAACATCTTAAAACATATTTTTAAAGTAAGATCTAACATTTATAAGTTCCTAAACATCTTATAGATATAATGCTTATAAGATATCTAAAATAATCTTAGCAAAATGGGCTCTAAATTGCATATCCGTTCCAAAAAATTGATTCCATGATAATATTATAGACAGAAGGTATTTTCACTGAAGTGGGAAACAGTTCTGAGGATGTACTTTGATAAGTTGTATCTTAGGAGTGAAAATGTAACATTCTGAAAATGTATTTTCTTTTTTTTTTTTCCCTTTATACTCACTTATCTATTTGTATTTTTTTGCTCGTTTAAAGACACCTCCAATGATGGATTCACCTTAGGCTCATGGTGAACTGTAGCCCACCGTGGCCCAACTTTTCTCCCTATAATAGTCTTTTTAATCTATTGATCCCACCAAAATCATTTCACATAGCTTACCTACATTGTCTAGTCCCTAACTTAAGGAGTTTCTATGATTATATTGGGACATACTGTATTTGAACTTATATTATTTAATTAAAATCTATAAACATTTACTTGTTTTATGTCAACTGTGAATACTCCTTAGAAGATTTTGGGAGCACTATCCCCAAACCTCCGTAAATTTGTCAGTAACCCTCTTGAGTGGTCCTAGCTTTACCACTGAACGACACATATATAAACATGCTCTACATGTATGAAATGAATTAGGAGAAAAAGAAATCCATTCGAACTGCCCTTAAGTCAAACTAACCTTTTTTGGTTACACCTGTACCATTTAATTTATAACTGTTTACATATGACCCGATTTCGAATGAATATACTATTGAGATTACTGCATGTGCACATCACATGTGATTTGAAGGTTACAATTTTAAAATCATGTTAATATAATTGTACTTTGAACCGGTCATCACAGATTTTCAATTGTGCATTTGATTAGATTTTCGAGTTTTGAAATTATTTTTTCATAGCCATTTATTCGTAAAGTTGGTTCATAAATCAGAAAAGGTTTACATGAGTCATCTGGAAGATCTAATACAACATGGGTTTGTTTTGGAGGCTTATGCGTTGTTTAACTAGAACAATTAACTTCAATTCTTGCTTAATCTAAGTTATTGCATGCTCATCATCTCAGGCTTTAGCTCTATTCACCTTTCTTTTTAAATGTTGTATAGCGAATTCCGCTTTCTAAGATATGTAGTAGAGTTCCTTCTTGCGACATTCTGTGTTATGATTATTGAACTCAGCTTAATAGACAACTTATGTTTCATTGTCTTATATGTTATCAAAGTTACAAATACTCTCTTAAATTTGTGTTATTTTCCTAACAGACTTGCGGAAACCAAAGCTTGTAGCAGAAATTGCTAAACAGCTACGGAAATTCCATGAGGTGGAAATCCCAGGTTCTAAAGAACCCCAACTATGGATTGATATCTTCAAGTTCTTTGGCAGAGGTGTGTATTCTTGTAACTTGTGGTGAACGAGGAACATCTTTAGCTTTTTACCTCTGCTTTTTTTTTTTTTGTCAATCCTGAGCTTATGTGCTGGTTTTTTCAGCATCAACCCTCAAATTTGATAATGACGAGAAACAAAAGAAGTATGAGATGGTTTCATTTGGAGAAATAAATAAAGACATCACCAACCTCAAGGTTATCTTCTGCTAATTCTTGCATATGATTTGCACGATGGATTGTTTATTTTTGTTCCAGAGAAAAGCATGATGGAAAGTGTCTTAAGCAATTATCTTGGCATATTATCGGCGTTGTACAATTGAAGACAATATTCCTCTTCTTAATATTCTGAATAGTTCATTTTTACTTTGCCTATTTCTATAGCATGCTGTACATGTAAGATAAATTTGTGTCTCGATCTGCTTGTAGATTTCTCTTCCCATTGTTGGCTTGCTGGCTTTTGAGTAAGAAAGATTAGCTACTTATACTGCCTTACTCGATAAATTTATTGCTTGAGTTTGGGCCGATATAAATTTACTATTGTATATAAGTTTCTTTTCACCATTTAGAAGCTGTTAGGGAAAAGAGAAAGGAAAAAAAGTTGTTATTGAGATCAGCTTTAGCCACTTTTGACTTTGTAAGTCAATAGTATCAAATGCTGCAAAGACATCCTGTGTTGGAGAACATCGACATTTTATCTTTATGTGCTGCATATGCTAGTTACTTTTGCTCTCCTTTAGCTGACAAAAACTATCTTTTTCGTAAATTAACATCTCATTATTGAACAGGTAATGACAGACCGTTTCAATGCTCCCATCGTATATTCTCACAACGATCTGTTGTCTGGGAATTTGATGATGAATGATGATGAAGGTAACCTATCATGCATAGTTTTACAAGAAATCAAATCTCTCTCTCTCTCTCTCTCTCTCTCTCTCTATATATATATATATATATATATATATATATATATATATATATATATATATATATATATATATATATATATGGTGTGTGTACATGCACCTTTGAAGTGTTTCTCGTACAATATTTTTCTATTCAAAGAATAACAATAGATAAGAAATTAAGGATGACATCTTAAATGAGATTGAAAGGATCAGGTAAGATTGAAAGGATCAGGTAACTATGTGGCTCATATAAAGTGCACTTTCTTAATGAACCAAGGGAAAACATCGAGAGGAAATACTCGTCTCTAGGATAGCGTGTAGAAGAATTATTTGTGGAAAATTGAATTAATCGGGAGGTTGTGACTTGATTGTGAACTCACCTGAAGTGTATGTATCATTTGAAAACTAAGCGAAAGACATATGAAACAAAGATCTTCAAGACTAATGCTGTTTTTTTGATCTTTTCATCTTTTTAGAAATTAAAAATCGTGTTGCTAGCACAATATATGCTAGAATTGGCAACTTTTATCATATTAATTTTCATTATCTACATTTATTCTCTTGAATTCACATGTTTCCTTGATTTTTCCTTTTCAGGTAAGCTTTACTTCATCGACTTTGAGTATGGATCATACAATTACAGAGGTTTTGACATCGGAAATCACTTCAATGAATATGCTGGCTATGATTGTGATTATAGCTTGTATGTCTTCTTCCTAGTTTAAATTTCTGTTTCAAGATGCTTTGTCCTTTTAGACGGTTAATGGGATTTATATTTTATTCTTGGACCTGTGCTACTGCTGTAGGTATCCGAGTAAAGATGAACAGTATTACTTCTTCAGACACTATTTAAAACCTGACAGACCACACGAGGTATGTGGAAGTAATACATTATGTAGTTGCATGAACTTATGTTTAATAGACAAGTATCGGAATTTGAATCATCTCCACTTGTTTTTGTGATGAAACGAGCCAATATATTTGTTGATGAATTTACACATTATTCACATAATTAACTTTTCTTCTATTGGAAATAATTGGATAATGTATGCCCTATATCTGCACATGTAATTGAATACCAAAGGCAACATTACGGCACGAGCTTGATCTTCAACCGCTTGCAAATTGACAGGTTTCTGATGAAGACCTTAAAGCCCTTTATGCAGAGACAAATACATATATGCTGGCTTCACACCTGTACTGGGCATTATGGGCTTTGATCCAGGTATTTTGGTGCTTCGAGAAAAAAAAAAAAAAAAAGAAACAAATGAAATGATTTTTTTTTTTAGTTTTTGAAATGAAATGAGAAAGCATTTGATGCGAAGGTTTATTGCAGGCGAAAATGTCTCCGATTGATTTTGATTATCTTGGTTACTTCTTCCTTCGATACAATGAATACAAGAAGCAGAAGGACAAGTGCTTTTTGTTGGCAGAATCATGTCTCTCAAATTCTCAGTCTGGTTAAATGTAGACTGACTACTGGCAGATATGTTTGTTGTGAAATTCTTTCTGGCTTTTGGTTTATGTTCTTTGTTTGTAGAGCTTTATGGCATTAGGTTATTTATTTATTGGAAGCCCACCCATCTGCACTCTTCTGCTGTAATCCTCATATTTTTGCTTGCTTTGTGTTGTACCATTTTATGAGACAAGTCAAAGTCAGTGCGAGGTTGGAAAAACAACAAATGGTGGGATTATTCTAGTAGTACTAGCAAAGTTATGTTTGTAAGTTATTACCATAGATTTTTGCTTATAAATTAGCTCTAAAATAGTTGATTGTGCTTTAAACGTTAGTCGTGTCTCGTGCGAAAAGTAAAATTGATTTGCCTTTTGCTCGGCCTCTACTGTATTGTTTTGCCTTGTACTGTCACTGACAGTAAATTAACGTAATTATACTGTCAATGACAGTTAATTAACGTAATTGTAATGTCATTGACAATACATTTATGTAATTGGTCTGCCGTTGACAGTAAATTAACGTAATATTATTATTATATTTTTTTTTGTTTTTCTTTTTATTTTGTTTGATTTGTTGACTAGTCAACGTAATTATATTACTGTCATTGACAGTAAAATAACTGTAAACACGATAATATTACTGTCAATAACATCACTATTATTATTTTTTTGGATTTTTTGTTTTGTTTGAGTTAAACATGGAGTAACGTAATAATATTACTGTCTATTATTGAATTATTACAGTAAACACAATAATATTACTGTGGTTGATGGTAATATTACTGTTGTTATAGTAATATTGCAGTCAGCCACATCAATATTATTATTTTGTTTGGATTTTTTTGTTTGTTTGACTTATTCACGGAGTAACGTAATAATATTACTGTCTATTATTATAATATTACTGTGGTTGACGGTAATATTACTGTTGTTGTAGTAATATTACTGTCACTCACAGTAATATTAATTCTTTTCGCTTTTTATTATGTTTAAATTTGTTAAACGATCAACAGAGTAATATTACTCTATTACACAATAATAATGAGTTTTGTTGTGTTAATATTACTGTGCTAGAGATTAATATATTAATATTACTGTGTTAGACTGTAGTTTAGTTAATTTTACTCTGGTTAACAGTAATATATTTAATATTACTGTCAATCACTACAATATTGCTGTTTAAACGAAAAAAGATGTAACTGAAAGAAAAAAACAAATCGAAAAAGTCAACGCCGGAGACCGGTGAAAAAATACGGAAGAAAAAAAAAAAGAAAAATAATAAATAGAAAAGTCAACGCCGGAATCCGGCGGCAAATTTTTTTTTTTTGAATTAAAAAAAAAAAAAAAGTTTTGGGTCAAAATTGAATAATTTGTGAAATTTGGGGTCAAATTGAGGTTAAATGAAGTTAAGGATGAAATTGGAGCATATTAAAGTATGATGGGCTATTTTAGTCTTTTACAAAAATCTGGACCACGTGTGGACTTATTGGTAAAAGAGTTTTTTGTCTAGATCTCTTTATGAATAAGTACCCATTGATGGGCTTATTTGTAACCTAAAAAATAATGTAAATTATATTTTGTATAAATTAAACTAGTAATCATGCCCCGTGCGTTGCACGGGATACCATTACAAAAAAGAATAAAATAATTATTTAAAATTTAATTTGTTGAATATATTGAAATTAAATAATTGAGAACACATGACATCATAAAAGAATTATAAAAAAAAGAAAAAAAGATAAACAATATTGAATACAATTAATAATAGTTTTCACAATTGGACAATCTAACCCAAGGCTTCATATGTTGTCGAAGTCTAGCATATCATCATTTGACACCTCTTACTTTGTTGTTTCTCAACATCCTCAAGATTGATATTTCGGAATCCGTGACAAAGTGTACGAAAATACACTTTAGTTTTGATAAAAAAACAAAGAAAAAAATTATAAAAATAAATAAATAATAAAATAGTAGATGGACATAGAAATAAGAGGGTCTCAAGGTACACCCAAGAATTGTTGTTGGTTTCAACATCCAACGGAATCATTCACAATCCTAATTTTGATTAAAACACAAAAGAAAATTCAAATATGAACGATTTTCTTGGAATATATATGAATTTATTATATAGTGGATGTGGGAAGTTATTAGTTAACGGGGAGTTACTCGAAGTGGGGAGTTGTTGTAAATGTGTGTTATTAGGAAAATTATAGATAATAAATATTACTGAAATAGGTAGTGACGATAATAATTGTAATAAAAATAAATAAACTTAAATTTCATTAATAGCATTAACATTTCTACGGATTTGACAATGCAACATGATAACTACGCAAAATGCTTAACAAAAATTCTTCTATCTCAATTAAGTAGTTAGATCTTGTTGCGGGTCGTATTTTATTGTGCAATTCTTTTCTCGGATGCAACAAAATCAGTTTCACGATCACTTCACTCTACAACTGAAATAGACGACTATGTGCAACAAAACTTTGCCTCATGAAAGGAAGTGTCGGTGAGACATGGGAAAAAAAAGAGAGCAAAATGTTAGTTAATGTTTTACGAAAATCATATGAAGAAGGTAGCTAGGTTTTGGGAAAAACTTGCATACACGATTCACATTTAATAGAAGAGTAATTATTTAATCAACCACAAAATGTATCTTAATACACAGTTATATGGTAGTTGATTTTTTTTTTTCCTTTAATGAGAGGCAAATAATTTTTGTCATGATATGCACAAATCTTTCATGTTCATTACAAATAAAACCATTGGATAGTTTTTCCAATATTTACTCCTATGCAATTTTTTTCCTCTAAAGTTTTTGATTGAATTTACAACGATGATAATTCAAATTTATATACAAAAGCTGCAATAATCATTAAAAAGAATGCTAATTTAATTTTCTAGATTAAAAATAATGAGAACATTCACATTAGTTGAGCAAACAAAAATTCACTGCATAAGTTACATCAAAATCTATGCCAACTCTATCAAATATGATGGATCAACGAACGCAAAAATAAATAAAAAATCGCAGATTTGTGTTGCCTATTCAAGAAACAATAATGGCCTTGGTGCTATCAATATACTCACAAACTTAAAACCTAATAATATAAATAATAAGTTCGTATAATTACATGAACCTAGCATGACCGTTTGTAGATGTACAACATGTTGCCAAGCATTTGGTGTATGATGTGAGATGATGATGGTTTCTTCTCTTCTTTACTGTTTTTTTCCCGTTTAATGCCTTAGAATTGTTGAGTAGCTTCAAATAATGGTCTAAAGAAAACAAAAAACATGCATCAATCTTAAAATAGGGATGCAACATCTCGAACGAATTAAAATACAACAACAAAATCTTGTAAGTTATAAAACTTAAATATTATAAATAAATTATAGCAAAAAAAAAAAAAACTTTGAACTAACAGAAGCACATAATAAATCTTGTGTGACATAATTTTTTTTCCATCTACCGAATTGCGTGAGTAGCTCGCTCCAACCACGAACTATTGTTGATACGAACATGCTTGCTGCAAAAGAAATTTACAATATGTCAAACACAAATGCAAAAATAAATAAATAAACGGCATAACACAGTTATTAAATAAACGAAGAAGAAGACGAACAAAATTGAGAAAGAAGAAGAAATTTGGCAAAAAAAATGTGGTTTTTTGTGGAGTTCTCATGAGTTTAAATAGAAGAATGAAATTGGTAGGGGTTGAGATCATGGTGTGATAACTTCTACCATGATGAATTAGTGGGGGGTTTAGTGGGTGGTTAGTGTGGAGAAGAAAAATCAAAAAAGAAAAATAATTAGAAACATACTTACGGTATATTTAAATATAGGAGTTAGTATTTAAATTATAAATTGATTAATTAATGGTCAAATTAAACATTTATTAATTTACAAAATTAACGCTAGGTTTAGGTCTTCGTTTTATATATAAGATTTGATTTGTTTTTTTTATGTTGATATGATATTAGGTTTTTCAAAAAAAAAGAAAAACTATGTGTTGTAGAATATTTTAAAAAAGGGGTTCTTTGAAAAAACCCCTCCATTACTTCCTTTAATGGGGGAGAGGTCTAATATATTTTGCTCCATTTGATAAAAGTCCATGTCCATTTTCAACCATCATTTTTTTCAATTATGTCTCGACCCACCACATCATCATTCCGTCGCACTACCATATTAGCCGTTTCCTCTCTCTCTTTTTTTTTTTCCTTCTTAATTATTATTATTATTATTTTATTTTTTCTTAAATTTTTTCTATAATTTTTTATAATTTTTTTTAAACTTTTATTTTACTTGTCAGGTGTATTAATCGACTATGATATTAATCAACTATACAGCCTAGTCGATTAAGGAAATTTCTTTATTTTTTTTTAATTTTTGATTTTTTTCTTTTTCTCTGCTAGGTATATTAATCGACTATGATATTAATCCACTAATAGAGCATAGTCGATTAAGCAAATTTCTTTAATTTATTTTTAATTATTGATTTTTTCCTTTTTCTCTGCCAGATATATAAATTGACTATGATATTAATCAACTGTAGAGCGTAGTCGATTAACGAACTGACTATTAAAAATAAAAAACGCAATTACATAAAACGAAAATCAACATTTATTTTACAACACAAATAATATATATAAATTGTAATTGATTTATACAAATTGTAATTAATAACCAAAAATCCAAAAATAAATTAAAAAATGATATCGAGTAACCTTAATCGACTACCAAAGCAGTCGATTAACACTTTAATCGACTACCAAAGCATAGTCGATTAACTTAAGGCTGCGGCTATATGCAAGACTAATTCCACTTGTGCAAGACCAAATTAAAATTTTCAATGTATAAATACTATAATACCCTTATTTATTATAAAAATAAAAAATTCCAAATATGCAAGACCAAAAATTCAAAAACACCAAAACCCTATCACAAGACCACAAAACCACAAGACCAACTATCATCTTCTCCATCTTCCAAAACTCACAAGACCTTTCTCCTTCCTCCTCCATTAACCTACAAAACCTAGAAATTCAAAATCATCAAAACTCAACAAATCTTACAAAGATGGCAAGTATGGAGTCAGAAGACATCAAAATAGAAGATTCTACGATGGAAGAACCCAAGAATGTATGCATTTATGGGTTTTTTTTAGCTAGAATATCGATTTTCCAAAAAAAATCCCGCGCAAACGAATTCGACATGTACAGGTCGAATTTTACAGGTAAAAATCGACATTTAGATGTCGATTTTGAGGTATAAAATTCGACATTTAGATGTCGATTTTGAGGTATAAAATTCGACATTTTAATTTGTGCTACAAATTCGACATGTCAATGTCGATTTTTACCTATGAAATTCG